AGATCCTAGTCTTAGATACCTCTCTCACCACACAGCTGGAGCAACACGTCCTAATAATCTACCACTTGGTATTGCTCCAGATGGTAGTCATTATCCTCCTTCAATATCCTATCAAAACACTCCTCTACCTCTTGACGTGAGAGTACCGCCCACATCAAGAATGTTCCGTCAGTCGCCTGGTTCTGATTCGTCAGCTGATGGTCTGACACCAAATTATTTTAAAGTGAGTGGAAAATAAATAAAACTTCTATATGTATGTACATGTACATGTAATAAGGATAAGGACACCAGGGTTTTCCACAAAGCATGCTAAGTGAGCTAAAAAGTATTATGCTTCATGAGCTGAAGAGCCTTATAATACATGTAGCATATGGTTTTTCGACTGACTTTAATAATTCGTAAAAAAATCCAAATTTGATCGGAATCAACTCAGACTTTCTACACAACATGAGAACATGTATGTGTATCAGAAAAAATTATAAAAATGGAGAATTCTCTCCTAGTCATTTTTGGCGAAATTTGGCTCAATATAGTACAGGGACTTTGACCCAATTCTTGAGCAACTTAAAAAATTCATATAAAATCCAATTTTGATTGGAATCAGCTCAAACTTTCTACACAACTTAAGAACATGTATGTGTATCAGAAAAAATTGTAAAAAAAGAAAATTCTCTTGTAAAAATTTTTGACGAAATACCTGTACTATAGTACAGGGACATTGGCTGAATCTTGGAGCACCTTGAAAATCCACTGACAAGATGCTACATTCATAAAGGCAGTGATAGACATTATTGTTCTTTTATTTTAAAGGTATCTGCTAGTGCTGATGATCTAACTTCTGGTGGTGAGGATCGTAACTCTATCCATTCCTTTGGGTCTAATCACAGTGGGGGAGGAGGAGGGGGCGGGGCTAAGATTAATTTTGAATTATCAGCAGCTGCTAACACCCAAAACACCGTTGTCTGATAATAAAGTACACAATAATACCCACTGATAATAATTAATAATAATAATTATGACTTGATATTGTGATTATAATATACTCTTTATCATTCTTCCTCTCTCTCTCTCTTTCTTGGAACTACTCGTGTTGTTTGCTTGTCTTATTGCTTTAATAACATTACTATTATTATTATTATTATTATTATTATTATTATTATTATTATTATTATTATTATTATCATTATTATTATAACAAG